CAAAGGCTGCAAGAGTTTGGGACATCTCACTTGTCACATGGTCAGGTATCAGTTCTGTATCTTCTTTCAGATCTTGGTGGAATAATATTTGCTCAGTTGGAACTTCTCAACTGGCCAAAGCCCGTATTCAACTTACAACATATTTGCTTTGGTGGTTGTGTAAGATACGGAATCTATGGCTGTTTCAAAGACAATCCTTACCTGCACAAGTGATTATCAAAATAACTCAGGAGGAATGGTTGGAGTATGCTAATTTAGATTGATTGTAGTTCTGCAGTTTGTCTCTTTTTTATTTATGTTTTGTTTTCAGTTCAGGTCTTGTAGCTTTGTTCTGATTTCTTTGATTTCTTTGTTAACTCTCTAGGCATCTTGCAGTGGAGAGATTAACAGAGGAAAGTAGATTGTTAGTTGTTGTCTAGGCCGCTTGAAGCGTGTCCTCCCAGTTTTAATTTTTGGGTTTGGCCCGTGTATGTATTTGAACATTGTATGTTTGTTTGGGTTTATAATATCTCTATCGTTCCGAAAAAAAAAAAAAAAGAATAGTAACTGACCATCTTTTGAGCATGAAGTTAATATAAACTAAAGCCTTAGATTGATAATTTTAAATCTCTTGGGTATTTTTAAAATATCGGATAAATAATATCCATTAGTGATTAATAAATAAAATAAATGGATGAATTAATATTAAATAACATAAAATTATTTATATAGTTATATGGAAGACTCTTACTTGTACTTGTAAGATAGAGAGTAAATGGATTAACACCTACTATTTAGGCTATGTTTGGTAAAACTAGCTGATAAGCTAGCTGATAGCTGATAAGCTAGCTTATAGCTTATCAGTAATTTTTTAGCTTATAGCTTATAGCTTATGACTTATAGCTGATAAGCTAGCTAATATGATAAAAGTGTTTGGTAAAACTAGCTGATAAGCTAGCTGGGATAAAAAAATCAACTAGCTTATTTGAAAAGCTACCTAAAGAAGCTTATCAAATAAGCTCGAGCTTTTTAAAAAAGCTCGTCCTACCAAACAAGGCTTATTTTAAACAGGGAGCTTATAAGCTAACCAAATAAGCTATAAGCTAGCTTATTTGGCTTACCAAACATAACTATCTACATTTGCTTAGCACCCACAATGCTTAGTCCATAGGAAAATGTTTTACAATACAATTAAAATTGGACATGGTCTATCTTATGCGTCAATCACAAAATGAGACAAGCTCACTCTTGAATCTATTTTGAACTCAAGTACAAACTTGAACGGTCAATATTTATTCATAATTTTTTAACAGATAAAAAATATTAGAACATTTTTATTGGTTGACAGGTATTCTAGACGTAGTATTTTATTTTTACATTGAATAGGTTTTGGGTTTTTTTTTATTACTTGAGTTTGTTCATGTCATTTAGGACTTAAGTACGTTTTTAAACTCAAATGCATGTGTGCTTAAGCATAGTGACATATATTTGCAACAATTCTAAGCTCTTGGTCAAAATGCTTTGTGCCTAGGTTCATAATACATTGCCAAATTAGTTAGGATGAAAAATATATAGTATTCTGTATTCATGTATAATTTTGCACATTGTTTTGTAACGTTTAAACAACAATTTTGTTAATGTGTTAATGTGATTTTGTGAATATTGTATTTTTAGTAGAGATAATAT